AACAACCCTGTGAGGTGAGTTGGGCTGAGAAAGAGGGACTGGCTCAAATTCACCCAGCCAGCCTTCATTCCTAAAGCAGGATTAGAACTCACAGTTTCCTACTTTCTAGCCTGGTACCTTACCTACCAGAGGGGTCTCAGGAGAAAATTTATAGTGATTATGTCTTTGATAGACACTTTGAGAATTTCAGTTCAGCTGTTCTTTACAATAAAATGAGATTTATTAATAGGAATTATTTGTCAAAGACAAAACGTGATTTTGAATGGCTGGCTTACTGTAACTTCATGTGAAGCCAAAATGCGTGAAGAATATGTGCAGCTGGACCAAATACATAAAAGCAACAGTATTGTGCTTGTGAATCAGAGTATTTTAATACAGGCAGCAATTCTGTTTTCAGCACTTAACACTATTTATGACGTGCGTCCAGAAGACCTTCAAATTTTGAATGAACTTAGGTGAATTTACTTCATGTTTCTTAAAACTCATGATTCTAAGCACAGTTCCATTTGCTTGGGGTACTTACAGTGATGATCTCTGTATAAGAATTGACTCCTGGAATCCTTTGCCATGTTTGAGCATTGCTGCTCCTCATTGCCTTATTTTGACCTGCTCCACCTTTCAAAGAATGTTTTGAGAAAGATGTTTGCTTGCTTTTCCTTACAGCAGCAGATTCCACAAGTTTGGATGGATCCTTAGAAAATCCCTGGGATGCATTCCCAGGAATAACTTTGAGCTCCTCTAGTGGTGAGTGAGATCAGAAGCTAACCATCACCCTTAATCACTGCTTTTCTATAACTAGGACCAAATCATGTTGATTTCTGCACCCTCATTGGAGAAACCTGTTAAGTCAAGTGTTGATCTGGTCTACTGGCTCTTACACTTCAACACTTTCTCCCCCTTCTAGCAACGGGCTAATTACCTTTTTCTCTGCCGTTGTGAACAGCGCTTTGCAGAAATCTCCCTCTTGCTTTGTCTTCATGCAAGGGCATGACGGCAAACATTACAAAAAGCTGGCATTGCCGAAACCTTGATACAGGTCATTAATGTTTCTTTATGACTGATGTCAGTGTTGTTTTAGTCTATAGTTGAAACCATGTTTAATGAATAAATTATATTGGTTCATACACTGGACAAACTGAAAGCAGGCAAACCATTTTAAAGCTTATCATAACGTCTGCATCTTGTAATCAAAATAGAAGCAATGAAAAGTTACCAAATTTTCCAACTTTAAAAAAAAGTTGCAAGTTATGGAAGTACCAAAATATTTGATAGTGACTCTGATCACTAGTATTTTGATACTAAGCACCAAAATATTTGTAGTGACTCTGAAATTTAGAATAACTTCAGGCAAACAGCGGGGGAGAAAATTACCCCAATTTGTATATGGGGAAAAATCTCTTGCATTACTGTTTCTGCTCTAATCAAAATTTCATTTTCCTCTGGATAGTTTAAAATAATTCCCTCCCCATATATACACTGGGAAACCAGTTGTGAATCTCTTGTGTTATGTCCATTCTGACACCTCACAAAGAGGAGTTACTAAGGAATCAGGTGTCAATAAAATAAAATGTTTTATTAGAATAAAAAACTAGAAGAACTGCATGTTTAAAACCAACTCTGCAGTGGAGTTCACAAATGAAGTAGCTCTAAGATCAGATCCTGTTGATAAACACACTAAGTGCTTTCCTGGTCAAAACCTCTTAGAAGTGAGATTGGCCTGCCTAAATTCTCTTTCTTAAAGGGGAACTGCAAAGTACACATACTGAATCCTTTGAGAACAAAAGTGAATCTGCAGCAATCAGTATTCTTTTTCCATGGATCTGATCTTCTCTCTATGCCAGTGTTTGTACCTCTGATTAAAAGTATTTATGAGAAAGAAGGTTAAGGCTGCAGCACAAGAATTCCAGCAAGTTTCTCAGTTTCAAGTGAGACACCTCAATATAAGCAGTTTGGGGCAGTAAAATCTCTTGTCATTTTCTCATGGGAAGGGGGCTGGAAACTTGTCCCTTTTTTGAAGGTGTTCCCTGTTTAGATAGCTGTCAGCTGCATGTTTATCAGTATGAGAAAAACTTTTGACACTGCATAGGGGGTTCACACGTGTTCCTCTTCAGCTGCTTGTGCACTAGATTTAGGATACCTGCTTCCAGGTAGTGTGGGTGTGTACTGTTCCATGCCTTAAAAGAGCTGCTGTGTTTTTGGTTTTTTGCACTGACAGATACTTCTGGCACATCCCCTGGCCTTCCCCAGACACAGCAGATGCTCCTGGCCAGTCCTGCTGAAGAAGCAAATCCACACTCCAATGCTTGTGCCTCAGATTTCCTGGAGCCTTGTAATAATATGCCTCACTGTAGTTCTGAGCAGGCTGCACCAGTGCGGTCTTCAACACTGCTTCATTCTCATGACAGTGAGTTTCCCAAGGGAGCTGCCAATCAGGAATCTGGTCTGATTGCATCAACTACAGCAAGCCAGGCCAGTCAAATTGCAGACAACATTCCTTGTGGTCAGCCATTAAACAAATCTCATCTTCACAGCTCTGTGCATCTTTATTCTCCTGTTTGTCATTCCACTGAGGGCGACTTCTTTGAGCGGGTGTCTGAAAATAGGAAGGATTGCCTATCCCATGCACAGAGGGCTAAGAGGATGACAGCTAGATGGAAGTACCTTGAAACAGCGAAATGTGTGTCATCTAAAAGGAAACAGAGGCCAAATGAAGAGGAACCTTCTGAGACTTTTTCCAGTCCGACCTGTAGTAATAATCTGGAAGGTGTAGGGCAGTGCTCTACTGAGACTGTTGCAAAATCTACTAATCCCAGTAAGAAACATCAGTATCCTCCCCTGAAATTTGTAAGTACCCCCAAGAAAAGACGGTTCAAGGAAATCCAGGATCAACAGTCATGTGTATGTCCCCAATGTGGTTGTACAGAGAGACTTCTAGAAAAAGGGAGTGAGCAGGAACCGATAGGAATCATCATGAGGAAATCAAAGCAAATTGGAGTTCAGCAAAAGGTAAAACTGTGATCTGAATGAAGGAAAATTATGATAGCTTTGTTTTGTGACCAGAGTCAGAGTGGAATTAGGGCCTCCCTAATCTTTGCAATGGAAATTCCCATTTTTTCCTCTACTCCTCCTTGTTTTGCATGAATGCTTTGATGTCAGTATGAGTTTATATTCAGTCATTAAAACATCATTGACAGTTCTGTTTAGTGGGAAACCCACAAGGTGACAACATTTGACATAAGATTTTGATGCGCTCATTTTGGGAATGTCAGGAGAGAATGTTGGAATCCTATGCTGTGCCTGTGTACAAGTGCGAAATGCTGGCTATTTTAAAATGTTAGTTTAATTTGGGTGGGTCCTGCAAGCACCCTTTTGGTGTCAGTGGGAACCATACTGCTGATTTCTGACTTAACACCTTCTAACTCTTCTCTCATCCCCCTCCCCAAGCTGTTCCAAGATAGTGATTAAGATATGACCAGAATCTTACAAAACAGAACAAGGATTCAGTTTGCTTCTCTCTCTCTCTCTCTTCCTCCTAGGAGAGTGTGAAAGGAGACCGTTTGCACAACCCACCAACCCCTGAGCTCTGCTCTCAAGTGCAATCTGTAAGGTTAGTGTCTTTCCTAGCTGGTCACACATATCATGGGAAGGGACTGTGTTAAAATGCTTTAACTATGTTAAAAAAGAACCATACATTTATGGAGACCAGAAGCTGCAGTGTTTCTTCAGTGACTGCTGCCTTCCATAATTTTTTTTTTTTTTTTTTTGCTTTTTGCTCCTGAGACACAACACATTTGAATATTTGCTTACCTTCAGATCTTGGACTTTCATTACAACATGTCTCCTGTTTTTGATCTATAGGATCTCAAGAGCATTACTGGGATGGGCACGCTGGGTTTTCAGCAACACGCAGAACCAATAAACTCCCCAAGATTCCTTGATCTCAAGTTGAATTACCTAGACACTTTTGCTATGTTAGGCTGTTTTGTTCTTTATTAGATTTTTTGTTAAGATAGATCTGTTTTAATTTCACATACAAAAAGAAAAGGAACCCATCGCATTTTCCTCTAAGGTTGTTCGGATGTCTGGAGCAAAGACTGCTTTGATTTTAGGTACAAAGATGTGCCAGCTGCTTCTTTAGGGGATGGCAGAATGACAACGCCATAATACATAATGCTCCTGTTTATATAAATTATAAATGGGACTCAGCTATAAATGTAAGCTGTTTGTATATTTTTGTTTTGTAACTTGTTAAAATAAACTGGTAACGATCACAGCTTGTCTTGTATGTCCTAAAGATTTTTTTGAGCAGGGGAATGCTTTCTGTTTTTTACAGTTAGTTGTAAATAGAATGTAAAGAAATTTAGTCTTTAAAATTTGACATATGGAAACTACTCTTCCTAAGCTAGTGAAAACCGTGCAGTTTTATCTGCAGTGAGGGACATATTTAAGGAGCTTATCCCTTTTTAAAGTTAAAGAGGATCTGCAGCATAAATGCTTATTTGAGCTGGTCCGCAACTTGCTCAAATTATTGTATTCAGTTTTCTCCCTTGGTAAATTTACACTTAAAGTATATTCTCTGGCCAGTAATGTCTAAATGTTACATGTTGAGCAATTTACTTGTGTCTTAGAATTATGCTTCCCACAGGTGGCTTCTGAGTTTGTAGAGCATACATCCATATACAGTAGCGTGTAGCTACAGCCACACAGTGGTGTTTAATCCAGTTCAGAACACAAAATGAAATTGTGGGAACAAACTATCTGTTCCAGACTCTGGTTTCTTATAGTTGTCAGGTGCCACTAGTAAGCCTGCAACGCATGAAGGCTAATACTCTCTCTGATATGATATAATACAGAGTTTATATCTTTCTGCTTCTAAAGAAGGAAGTTCCATGAGTATCAGGTTATGCCTGATACTCATGAATTTGTTTTATCCCTTTTAGAGCATTATAAGTAGTGAATATAATTGCTTCTTGAGACTATAGCTTTCATAATTCAGTACTGTATAAAGAAGAGCTTTGTCTATTCTCAATCTACTGTCAGTTTCATTAACTATGAAGCAAGGCGATATTAAATTTGTAGAGCACTTCCCAGGAGACAGATATGCTATGTGTCAATAAGGTAGCTGAGTGTGGCGTGGAGAAAGGCAGTATGACAGAAGAACATAAACATTCATTACTATACTAGAAATACATCTAATGAAGTGCTATACAACTTTAAACATTTCTTGCTTGAAGTGATGAATGGTTTATATAATGGTATATATTTATAAAAATGTCATAAAGGAAGTAAACAACTGTATGGCAACATCAATATGAATTAAAATGCTTGATTTTTAATTATTTTTGTCATCTCCTTTCATTTAATTACAAAATATTTCATATAGCTTACATGCTTGATAAAATGTTTTGAAAATTAAAACAAATTAGGAAAAATACAACAGCACAGCTCTCATAAAAAATATACCTTGTGTGCCAATTTTCCAAATTTGAGCAGAGTCACTCAAACATAGTTTGAAAGTTAAAATAAAATTCTGTGATTCTTTGCTTTAAAATAAGGACCTTAACGTAAATAAATTGGCTATTTGTGCTAGAATATTTTTAAAAGATGCATGCAATAATCATCTGGTAATAGATGACAAGATACCCAAGTACAATACAAGGAGCTCAACTCCCACTGAGCGTCTCTTGTGGTTTAGAATGATTGGCAATTGAACTATTATGCCAAAATGTTCTTTATCTGTGTGGAAACGCGTTGTGTGTGTACATGGAATTCCACCACTAGTAGACACAGTGTGTTGTGAGAACTTTGCAGCTGGTGTGGCTGCATGTATGATTTGAAACATGACTCTGGCATGGTCCATAACTGCTCCTTGTTCCCTAAATTCAAATCCACTGATACTGGAAGCAAAAGCCTTTTTCAGTGTTTGTGAAAAGAATGCCTTCAGATGATGGGGTCCTGAACTTTCCATGTTGGCAGAAAACCTCTCCACTGAATGCCGTTATAATCCTTCCAGCCCTGTGGAGAATTATAACTATTAGCCAAGTGCCCACATATTCTTTCTTCCAGTGCCTGAAAAAGGCTAGTGGTGAAAGTACCTACTACTCTATGAAACAGCTGCGTTTTTTCAGAGTATGCAGTGTAACTACATTTAACAGTATGTTTATTTGCAGGCCATCAGTGTGGTGAAATGTGTGCTTGCCCTCAATCCTATGTGCTAGTCCTTTGGATGTAAGGAGCTGTAACAAGTTAAGCAATTTATATTGTAAAAAGTAATGTATAGGCTATTACCTATAGCCTCCTTAAAAGCCAGTGGATTGGGGTAAGGTATTTTCTTTAAGGAGAAGGTTGAAAATCCTGATTAGTGAGACAAGGGCTACTAGTTAAGCATTTGAACAGAAACACCTACCTTGGTGTGATGCCCTCACATCTTCCCAAGGTAGACAAGAGTCTTCTCCATTTCCCCCATCCTCTCTGCTACAGCAAAGCACTGCTGGACCTCGTAGCAATGTTAATGAAGCAGAGAGGAGAGGCCTAATACCAGAATAAATGAGACAGGAACAATTGTGATTTTGAATTATTTAATTGTGGAATGGAGGGACTGAGACCTCATTTATCTTAACTTGCTGAAAGCTGCCACAATGCACACTGTTCCTCCTACCTTGTTCACGCCAGACCTCTCATGGGTGCCAGCAGATGTTGGTTCTAGAATGACAGTTTTGTTCCTAGATGGTAAAAGGATGTGGCCAAAGAAAATAAGATCTTAAGAACACATATAGTATAGGATGGCATGGGAGGAAGTTTGTTATGAGACAGATGTACCTGATTTAACTGAGTGCCTGCTTTTAACTTTCCTACAAACCACAAAGCTAGCCTAGTCTCAGACTTCCAAAACATACAATGCAAGGCAGGCAAGATTAGTGTATGTAAGATAACCCCCATCCCTTCTGCTGGTGGTTCTCAGTTTCTGGCACTATAACATTTTCACATCTGTACCAACTGTACAACTGCTGCTGGAAATGACTGGTTTCCTGCAGACTGAGCTTTTGGCTTTTCTCACACAAACCGTTAGAATACTGGGCACTTATATGAGTGCGTACAAGGATGAACGATGAAAAAAGGTCAATCAATCCAGAAAGACGTGCAGGAGATTAGATGCCACTATTCATCACTGGAAATTCCAGCTCTTCCAGCCAAGGGCCTGGCACTTGCTCATCCTTGTACTGACGAACGTGCACCCTCACAGCTGGCTTTTACTGCTGCTGTTGCTTCAAGCCATAAGCCTTCACTCTGTCCTCCTTCAATGGAGCTTGCCATCATGCAGAAGCATTCAGTGCTCTTGTATTGGAGACCTGGAGAGGGGCACCACAGTTCTTTGGTCTAATGCTGTATTTTGTGCATTCTTTAGAGTTTGTTCTAAAGCTTGGGGCAACTCTTCTGTTTCTGGTCTTGATTTTGAGTTGGAGGCAGCCACGCTCCTTTCTTGTGGGGGAGTGCCTAGAAAAGAGTCAACACAAGTGAACTGATTTGCAACATCATAAAACTAGATGCAAGTGACCCTTAAGAAATCAGAACGTGGAGGGCCTCTAGCACCTAACGCAAAAGATGCTCAATGCTACTCAAACAGCATAGGCACTAAATGGAGGTTCGCTGAGTATCCTAGGTTTTATATGATTCTACCCCTGTGGCTTGATGGACAATTATAAAAGAAGCGCTGTAGTAAATTTTGGAATGAATGTGGGAAATGTTTACAATTCAGAAACTGAATTTGCATCTAGGAAGAGTAAAGTAGGTGTACTTCTCTATGTTTTACCTAGAGAGTCAGATGGTGCAGATGTTCCAGTCTCCAACAGGGACTTGGGCTTAGTCTTCCATTTCAGAACAGGGGAGCGTTGCAAACAAAGAGGGATTTTTGCATCTGTAGGGAATATCAAAGTTGCCATGTTAACCAGATCGAGAAAAGAGACATCTTGCAGTCGAGCCCAAAAGTAAGATTGGCAGCTCTGCAGCGTGTAATTCAGTAGGTAGAGCTGATGATATTAATGTAAACCATACTTCAGCAGAGCTCTTGGTACCAAGACACCCCATTTTTAGTTTCTGGGAAATGGAGTCCTGCTTTGAATCTGTAGCAGCAGCAGCTGATTGGCAGATCAGACACTGGCCTTCAGGATATAGTTACACTACTCAGCTGAAGTAGATTTTTGCTGTTGCTTCTTCATGTTCTAACAATAGATTTGATAGAATTTTTGTACTTTTCTAGAGGCTGAATGAGAATAGAAATGCACTGCAAAGACATCCTAGCTTATGGCTTTGTTTCCAGTTATTTGTCATGCGCTTGTTAAATGGATAAATGAGCTGGTCTGGTAGCATGATATAGAAGGAAAACCTTATCATCTGTTTTTTGTTTTGTTTCGTTTGCCAATTTCCGTAGGACAGAAATATGGTCTGAAGAGCCCGATTAATTTCTGTTTGGCCATACCAATATATCAGGTTAGTAACAACCCAGAAAGAATCAGTCCAACATCTCTAGTATTAGTCAGCTTTGGGAGGCCCTATGTGCCTTCCCATTTCTTCCAGTCCCCCACCACTCACTTTTCCTGTTCCAATATTGTGGCAGGGAAGTAGAAATTGAAATGGAAGTAGGGGTGGCTTTCCTAGAGAGACTGTTTTTACAGGACTTCTCTTGGATGTCATCTAGATCTTGGAAGTCAGAAGAGCTAATTCACCCCTCTGGACAGCCATTCTTTCAATAGTGTTATGTTAGCCCCAAACAAGACTGGGTCTGTTTGATGTTATCTCCATGCCCAGTTAGTTGGCTGAGTCAATTTGCCTTATTTTCCTGTTTCCACAATTCACTAGCCTTTCCTCCATAACCCAATCAAACACATTGCATTATTGGAACCATGAGCTTGGTCTCTTAGCATCTCAAGTCTTTAAATAGTCAACCACTTAACCTACCTCTCCATTTTTAAAAACATATCTAAAACTCTCCTTGTAGAACTATTTATTCAGTCTTAATTTGGTAATGCTGGGTTTGTAGCTTGAGATTTTATTTTTTTTTTATAAAAGGCTTTACTCATTGATGCCTGCAGTGCCTTTTCTCCTCCTTAATCATTTATTTTACCAGCTTTCAGTGTATTTCAGATTCCTCCTATCATTGTCTGCTCATCAATTATCAACAGGGCTTATATCCTCTCTTCCCTTCCCCTGTATGTTTTAACCTTTCTCCATCCCTTAGCCTAAAATGCATGAAGAATATATGTGAAAGTTAATTGTTGTGCTAATTTACATTCTGTGGTATAATAATAACCAATAACAAGGATGGCAAGTTGAAGAAAGACCAATGGCCCAATAGAAAAAATCCTTTAACAAATACAGGGTGTTTTTGCTCTGCACTGTTTTCTCTCCGATTAAACACCATAGATTTCCATATTTGCCCTCACCTCCCCTTCAAATGATTACAAGGAAATACTTGTTGTAGTTTCAGGAAATATAGAACTTATTTCTTCATCAGGCAACAACCTATCTTAAGCATTAACAAAATCTGAGATGACTCATAGAAATATTGACTTGAAAAGGGAATTATCTTCCAGATTTTTGGAATCAGCATTTTTTCCCATCTGCTTTTTTTTGCAAGTTAAGTCTTTCAATTAGATAAGTATTCTTCCTTGTGAGCAGGATGTTCTCAGTCTTTACTTACGGTGGAGCTCTGCCGCACAGGCCTGGTCCCTGAGCTGTTCTTCATGAACAGACATGGCCCTTCGGTTTACCACAGGCTTTAGGCGAGGTTTGGGTTTGAACTGATTGTCTGAAAAATGGAAGTGGATGAGATCATATGGAGTTCAGACAAGTATTGGTCCATTGCAGGTGAACAATGGAGGTGGCTATATTTTTTTATTTTTTTTATTTTTATATGTATGTATGTATGTATGTAAGTAAGTTGGGGTGTAGACTTCATAAATTACTCTGTCTTCTGTGGAGGAGAAGGAAGTTGCTGGAATCAGCAAAAGATCATTGTTTCATATATGATTGCAATGTTGGTAAAGCTCAAGAATTCTAGAAAATAATCTATTATAGAATGAAATAAATTCTAAAGGTTGGATTATCTTTCTGACCAGCCTTGCTTCTGCTAAACCTTAGCAAACCTTACGTTCTCACAAAATATACCAAATTGGCTTTGTATATGGTAACTACTGCTAGAATACTTTAGGCTTTTCATTGGAAATCACACACAATTCCTTCCATAAATCAATGATAAATTAAGGTTAAAAAAAAATCATCTCATATTTGAAAAACAAATAGGGTAAAGAATGCAATTCAACTTGGAAGCTAATCATGAACTGTAATTCTAATGTGGGTTTATACCACATCTGAAGTTTGGGTTTCTATCTTTAATATCTAACCGTTTCTTGGATTTGCCGAATAAGGATAGAATTCTAAGGTAAGACAGAACTTTTTGTAATGTCTTGTTTTGATTTATAATTTATATTATACCAGCTGTCTTTGTTCATTATTACATATTGACTTGATTTTAATAATATTCTGGAGTTCTGAATTGATTCAAGATAATTTGTAATGCAGCACAAATCTAACATTACTTTAAAATTTACATTTAATTTTATCATGCTTGTAAATCTTTTTTCTATCTTCTGACTTTCCTTTTGTTTTTTCTTGACTGTGTTTTTAAATATCTACTAAAATAATAGACAGACAGACAGGAATCAGCAGAACATTAAGGAGAGAATAAAACAGAAATTGAAAACAGAATCTAACATCAACATGCTGTATCTACTCCATGGGATTCCTTGGATATGCCAGTAAACATTTTTGGACCCAATTGTCCGTATCTTTATATGTAGGATTTCCATTTGATTTTGATTATATTAAATGACAAACACAATAATTTTTTGAACCCAATTAAAATTCCATCAGTTTACCATCAGTTGTATGGGATGTATGCCAGGCTGGTATACTTGGGTGTGTTATTGTCTTATGCTTCTGTGAAAAACCCCAACCTCTGTTTGACCTACCTCCAGCAATCGTGTTTAAGTGAGCGTACGAATTCTGCAGTTCAACAAATGCCTGTCCTTCTCCAGCATTGCTGGTCCTCCTGATGGGAAGAGGGGCAGCTGTGCTTCTCCCAGTCCTGGGCAAACTGCTGCTCCAGCTCTCTCTCCCTTCTTGCTCCCGGGAGCTGGTGGGCTCCTGATTGGCAAAAGCTCTTCTCGGAGAAGAGCTGAGTTCTGAACACTTCCCCTTGAGCTCCACATTCAGCTGCTTCCCAAGAACTTTCCAAGAGAGCCTCCCCTCATTGCATCCACTGCTTGGCTCTGTACCTGCTCTGCCAATGGCATCGGGAGAACCCATGCGCACGGAAGGATCTGCAATAGAACATCGTCGGTTCTCAAGCTCATGAATCAACATTTCCATTTCACCACTTCTACCACATATACCAGTTTGAGCTGCCCTACCAGGATGGCTCTCTATCCCTTTGTCCTCTATCCCTGATTTAGTTCAGCTTCTCTCAGAAACTCCAACCAGCATGGACGAAGGAACCAGTTGGGGATAGGTTGCTGTAGATATGGTTGTTTATCTCCCATTAAATCGCAATATCCAGCAAGCCCAAGCATAACACTTAAAATTATTATACTCTTCCTTATCCACTATCCAATCCTTGATTTCTGGGTTTTGCACATAAGTCTAAACTCAAATGTCAAATGCTAATCATTTAGGGAGTGCAGTAGGCTTGGTGGGAACAAGTTCTGGCTTTAATTAAATTGCTTCATTAAAACTGGCATTTACATTGATCAATTTGCCCAATGGCTCACATCTATTTTGGGACTATGAGTTTTGCATGGAAGAATACATTGGCAGGAATCTGAGCAACTGAAACCACTGGCTCTTTGAAGTAGAGAGAATGAAGAAATTGGGCACCAAGGAACTGAAATGGTCTGCATCTCCCAAACTTACCTGTGGATATGGAGTGTGTTCGTGATTTCAAAGAGCATGGAGGAGACTCTGCAGAACAATCCACGATATCCCCTAAGAAATCAAGCAGACATATTCAGGGAACAGGCTGAATCAAACAGGGAAGAAGAAAGTCTTTGGCAATCTATCTGAAGGCCAAACAATTAGTTTTCCACATGAAACTGTCCATAAAAAGGATTCTGAAGTTAGCCTATTTAGGATTTGGCCCGTTGCAGAATGCAAGTGAGGATTCAGAAAACAGAAAATTAGCATAATTAGCCCTAGTTTTCTGTGGGTGAAGGTATATTTGGATGTGATAGGGCTACTTTGTTAAGAATTAAACCAATTTGGGTTTGATCAGTGGTTTTTTTTAGAAGCTCCTTCATTTCAATTCCACAACAGTGGGAAGAAAGCTGGGGATGAATGTAGCGATAAAAATAAATATCATATGGATCCCCATTTACAGTCTGGAGCAGTACATAGGTACCAGTTGATCCCTTCAAAGATCCCTTGGTTAGATTCCTACAAGCTCATTATATCAAGATAATCTTACCCACATCCCACACCCCATCTGCCACCCAGCACAGCTGAAGATCTGGATTCATGCTACATGTCTCCTAATGCTAAAATCTGGCCTGGGGACTTCACATTGCTTTAACAGGTTTGCTCAATATCAGATGCTCAGCTACAGGAAATCCCTTTGCTTTTGCTTACAACAAAATATCTTAAGTCCCACGAAGGAGCTAGCATGGGAAAAGGTAAGAATTCTTTCAATTTCTCCAAATTAATAAGCTTTCTAGAACAATCCACCAGTAAAGCAGCAAAATAATAATGTGGCTGGGGAAAAGTGAGATGAGTGGGTGAAAAGATGTCAGTGGACATGAACTCAGTGTCTTGAGAATACCTGGAGTGATATTTTCCCTTAAGGCCCAGAAGATGTCAGCCATGACACTATTTATACAAATGGTTGTCTCTATAAGCTTCTCTCGCTAATTTGCACTCAAATTCTCTCTTTGCATTTTTCCAGGGACTCTTTTGGATTTCAACATTATAAATACTGGTATTATTGAATTCCATGTATCCAAAAGGTATAGGACCCTGTCTTTCTCAAATTTCAAACATGAGTTATCCATATCACACAGCAATGTGCTTAAAAAATTAAAGAAGGTTTGAAAGGCAGGCTTTTAATGCTAGAAATTTCACAAGGGGGTCTTTTGTTGTTGTTCCAACACAGGAAGAAATCGTAAATATCAAGGACCTCTTTGCTGTGTATGAGCTGTTCAAGCGTCTAATAAAAGCTTGAATGATTGGTAGTAAGCAGAAGGAAAAATAGGATCAATTGTTACCCACCATCAGAACCAGCCTTCTTGATCTCCCCATCTTTGCTCTGCAAAAAATACAAGGAAATACAAGCTCTCAGGAAGGATATTTTCCAGAACAAGACTTATTTGTAAAGTAGACTATATTAAAATAAACAAACAGGAGAAATGAACCCCCACAACTGGGCCTGAAACAGAGAGGATCTCAGCTGAAGCAAAGCAAAAATAATGCTTTAATTGGAACATGCCCAATGGATGCCAATGTGGTATTTTGATCAATTTCTTTATAGATGTATTTATTAATGTTCTTTTAGAGAATGGAATATATTATTACATTCAGTGCCCATTTAGCGATGGATTCCAACTATTTCCTGGAACCAGATGGATCCACAGCTCCCACAATCCACTTTTTTGCCAAAAAACCCATCTTCCTCATCTTGGCAACTTCTAGCCTAACAGAGTTCTGGGAGTTGCAGCTACAGTATAGCGAAGGGCATTGGGTTGGGGAGACAGATCTAGAATAACTCAGTCAACTACTATGCATGAACAAACTCAGGCCCTCTGCTCAGGAAGGCGGAAGAGACGTCAACCACTAGGCTGCAACAGCAGGTTATGTGGAAGATTTCCTTCCACAGAGATTCATAGGAAAAAAATTGTTCTGAAAGGTAAACAGGAACCTTTCAGAATTCTAACTGGTACTGCATCATCCTGTGTATGTTTAGTCCCAGTGAGCTCGGTGGGTTTTACTTCCTGGTAAGGGTGCAGTAGAATACAGAGAGCCAGGTTGTGCAGTGGTTAAAGCACCAGGCTAGAAACTGGGAGACCATGAGTTCTAGTCCCACCTCGGGCACGAAGCCAGCTGGGTGACCTTGGGGCAGTCCCTCTTTCTCAGCCCTAGGAAGAAACAGGCAATGGCAAACCGCTTCCGAAATCTTGCCGAGAAAACTGCAGGGACTTATCCAGGCAGTTACCAGGAGTCAACAATGATTTGAAGGCAATGATTTGAACTCCCAAATCTTACTACACATCTATTTTCTCCCATAGGAATCTCCAGGGATGTGACAGCAGTTGCTTTAAGCTAGCAGGGCAACCATAATCAGGCCCATTACCGATGTTCTGCTGCCTACCTGTTTCTTTTTGCCTTCAGAGGATAACACCTTGGTGACACCAATCCGATGCAGCATGACATGGACACGCTGTTCAAAGGAACTGGGCAGCTCACCATCGCTCCTCTCAAAGGACCTCTTCTGTAGGACAAGACATTGAATGTTAGCACCTTCCACATAATAATAAGCTGTAACATCAAACATTACTTCAACAGCACATATGAGAAGTCTTAGTTATGTCCCACACACTAATATAACAATCACACTTAATTTTTTTCATTTTTTGTGAGCTCTTTGCTGAAATCATCCATCTGGGATTCTGCTAGGACACACAAACAAGCCGAACTAGATCAGGTGCCTTCTTTCACAAACTCTCATTGGTGTTCTACTGCCATCCAGACAATATTCAGCTCCTTCTACCTTTGTTCCCTAAATTCTGAGACATCAAGAAATTTCATTCTTTTGTTTCTATAGTACTCATTCAGTAGACTTGGAGCTGGTACCCCACACATGCTGTTTCCTTGGACATGATCAGACAGGGAAGACAATCTCCCCCCAGCTCCTCCATGAAATAGACAAGTATCCCAGGATAATTGTCTGAATATTGTTGCACGTGCATGTGGTCTCCCTCATACACAGCTATAAGATTAACTCTCTCAAAAGACATCTTCCAATGACTCTGCAAGTAGAAACCACAGAAAACTGTAGGCCCTGCCAAGTCCAATTGGGTTGGTGAATCTACTGGCATAACATCTACAAGTTCCCTCCACCAAACGTTTCCAACTTTCCATTTTAAGACAAAACAGATTCTTCACATGGCAAGCTGAGATGATCATCTCAGAGCATCTTTTGAAGGTTCATAATACAGCAAGCCCCCTGCCCTGCACAACAAGTAGGAGACCACCTTGAAATACTATGAGTTCTCTACCTTGAGTTCCATGGTGGAAGGAAAGCAGAACAAATAACTGCAGAGCTGCCAATGAGATAAAAAAAGAGACTCACCTTCTCATGTCTCACACCAAGTCCCTCTGACTCCTCTCCTGACAAGAGTATCAAAGACTGAGACTTCCCTTCCCTGGAGTACTTTGGCCTTGCCCTACGAGCACTATCCGGAGTCTGGCTCTGTTCCAGGTAGCCTCTGTTCTCCCCAGCCAGCCCTCCTTCCTCAGATTTGCTTAGCACTTTGGCTGATTCACTGGTTTTGCTAGGGGTCCTTAAAATGTCACTGAGCATCAGCTTCCTGCCCCTTGCTGGTGAGGGACTACCCTCAGGTTCTTTTTCTGACTTGGCACCCCGACTTGACTTTGGCTTCTTGAAGGCAAAGAAGTGTCCTATTTTCTTTTTTAAGGTCCGAGAACCAGAAGATGTCGATGTGGTTGCTGATGGAGAGGTTTCCAACGAAACAGGGCTGCGGGCAGGAAAGGAAGCAACAGAATTACTTGCTGCCAAGAACGCAATATTAGATTGGGGGGATTGATCAAGAATTTTTGTAGGTAGGTCACATTTGCCAAAAATATCTCCATAATGTTGTCCGTGCATTATGGGGGGAAAAAACAAGATAGGTACTAATATGATGAAACTGTTTCTGATAGAGATCGTCAGCCGCTATTTACTGGCACCTGGAGGATATGTATTGTCAGGCCCAGCCCAAGAACGATGATTAAAGAGTCTAGTCGAGTGCAGTTCCTTTATTTGCCTACACCTTATAGACAGAATCTTGCCAGACTCAATCTATACTACAGCAACTGGTGGATATACCCTGGGAGATTCTAGGGAGTGGCTACCCTGAACCTCTTTCTCTTCTCATGCTCCCCCCGCGGACTGTGTTGTCTCCTTGCCTCCTCCCCCCTCCTGGAATGCACCCCCTCCCTCCTGACAGCCTTGATCTCCCACATCACTCTCCTCCTCATAGATACATCCCCCACACACACACACGCAGGACCTGTTCTGCCAGAGCATCTAGGTTCTAGACTTCTGCTCAGGAGATGACGAGAACTTAGTGGAGTTGGAAACAGAGGTAGGCAAACCAGAGTTCATGGACCTCTCATTTTGTGTCCATAGGCTCCTGACACACACACACTGTCAGGCCCAGCCCAAGAACAACGGTGAAACAGTCTAGTCGAGTACAGTTCCTTTATTTGCCTACACCTTATAG